CTCACTCGGTAGAGACAGAGGCAGACCTTTTCCCAATATCCAATATTCAATATCCGAGTTGGGATGGAGCTTCACAACTCGCATATGTCTCATTCTGTTATCTAGTCGGGTTAGCAAGCGAGCTAAACGCCATGTAATTGGGTCTACGGGGAGCTAAGAGCCGTGGAGCTAACATAGCTGCGTGTGCCGCATCCGAAAAAACACACACACACACACACACACACTCACACACACACACACACACTCACACTCACACACACTCACAAACACACTCACTCACTCACTCACTCACTCACTCACTCACACACTCACACACACACACATAAGCTAGTGCTGCTTAGCTTGGCGAGCTAACAAGCTTCACCGGGGCGGGCTAATTAAAATAGCCGTTACTCATTTTTTTCAACCTACCTGTGATCACCGCTGCGACCCAGAAGACGCCCCGCTAATGCCGTCACCTATGTATCACGAACCGTGCCGTGCCGAAATAATTCAAATTCCACAGAAAGTGCAGGGAGAGACGCTCGCAGTCCAATCGCTTCAGCCACCGCCGCTGAATGGCTGCTACTCGGAGACTCAACCAAACTTCCTCCTTAGCAACGGACCGCCCCCGCCGCACCTCATTGGCCGGCGCGAGCGGATCGAAACGTGATCGATAGATCGATAATGCAACCTGGATCAAAACTGGACTTTCCGTGCATTTCTTACAAATCGACAGGAGCAGCAAGGGTTAAAGCTCTCAGTGGGATTTATCACTGCAAGGGAGTGACCAGCTGCCACACTGCGCTCCTTCTCTATCGCACTGATATTTCCCAGGGCTGCAACTAAAATTTGTTTCATTATTGATTTCTGATTGACTAATTTTCTGGATGAATGGTTTTGTCTAGACACCATGAGAAAATGGTGAAAATTTGTAATGAAGACAAATGCATTTTTTTTTTTTGTCCAACCAATAATTTAAACCCAAATATATATAGTTTATTATGATATATGACAAAGAGAAGCTGCAAATCCTCATATTTCAGCCTGTAACCAAAAAGTTTTGGCATTTTTGCATAAGAAAAAAAAAAAAAGAATTGACTTAAACGACTTTTTTCAAAATAGTTCCTAAATGATTTACTGTTGTGGCTCTAAACATTTCAAATTAAATCACTCAAATTATTGAAAATTAGCTGCAGAATTTGTTTCCTGCTGCAGTCGCTGTATTCCTTTAAGTAAAAGATGGGACCACAGCTGGATTTTCTGTCCCAGCTCCTTACACAGTGGATTAATGTAATACCCTTGTGCAATGAGTGCACAGTGAGTCTCCAGTAGAGATGGAGGAAGTACTCAGATCTATTAAATCTTAATACACAATGTAGTACATTTACTCAAACACAGTACAGTTTTGAAGTATTTGTACTTTACTTGAGTATAACTGAGCAAAATATTGTACTTTTTACACCACTGTATTTATTTGACAGCTGCTAGTTTCTTTTCATATATAAATACAATATGTTTTTTGAGATAAAACTGGTGGTTTCCAATTTTCTTTTGGCTTTTAACACCTTATAGATGTGTATGACTTGTTTACAGTTTCAGTAAAATAAAAGACATTTCCCCTCGAAACTTCTCACGTGGTTTCATTTGATCAAATATTTCCAAAAAAAGATTAGAGAAAAGTCTCAAAACTGAAAAACAGATTTGTGTCTCTTTGTGTTTCCTCTTTTTTGTCTCATTAATCATCTCATGACCCGTCAGATTTATCTTGTGACCCTTGGATGGGACCGACCCCTAGTTTGGGAACCACTGGACTGAAATAGTTTGAGCAGCTACAGCAGCACAATGCTGGTTACACATGGATTCATTCTTATTAATAATATCATTTATTTTAATGCAGTATATCAGTTAATGGGGCCAATTGTCTGTAGAATGAGTATTTTTACTTTTAATACTTCAAGTAAATTCAACTTTTACCAATATTAAATGCAGGATATTGATACTTTTACTGTTAAATTAAAGTCTTGGAATACAAAATTAAACTTCAGCATCTACAGTAAAAGTACTTGTTACACAGAATATTGTTTACATCATTACCATTTATATTATTGCTGGATTATTACTGATGCATTAATGTGCAAGTAGCATGTTAGGTTTGTATTTGAGTTGAACTTTTTAGCAGCACAATTATTGGATTGGGAGAAAATTCATCTACTCTTCCTTTGTTGATGCTTTGTCATGCTTTATAATGAAGTAATTATCCCGACCTTTTCGACTGTTGGTCAAAACAAAACAAGACATTTGAAGATGTCGCCTCGGGCTCTAGGAAATTATGATGAATACTTCTCATTACACTCTCGCATTTTATAGACAAAACAACTAATTGATTAAGTGAGAAAATAATGAGCAGATTAATTGATAATGAAATAGATGGTAGTATATTATATCGCATGATTGTTTAATCTATAACAGTGCATCAGATTTGATGTTTATGTCCAAGTTTGATGTTTAAGTTGACATGAAGTTGATTTATATTTCATCCAAAGATCAACTTGATGTCAACTTAAACATCATACATGTCAGTTACATCATCATACATGTCCGTTATATATAACTTATGGGGTTAGGGTAATGCTCAAGTAAAGTACAAGTATCTAAAAGAGTGTACTTACTGTGCAGTGTGTGTGTAAGTGAGCTGGGTTAGCTGTCTGCACTGGCGTCCAGTATCTGTCAGACATCTCACTGACACTTCATCATATATTATGTATCAGGCTGATATGGAAATAAGGCCCGGCAGTGAGGGAACTCCTGAAACCACATATTTTAAAAGTCCATTTGGATAACTTGGATAACGCCAAAGTCTTAATGTCCTTCCTGTTCTCACACCACAGATCTTAAAAAAAGTGTTTTTCTTGATGTCTATTAACAACACTCACTACGCCGTGTTTAAACACTCATCTGACCCCCCCCCCCTGCAGATGAGACCTCGGCCCCTTTAAAAGGCCACAAGTTTATCAGCATTAAGTTGCATTCCTGGCATAGCTTTGAAGCGTATTAATCTGCAGTGTAGTGTGGTTTGTGTTTGTGGCCTGGAAGGTTACAAAACCAACAAAAAAGAAAAAAAGAGAAAGAAGAAAAGCTTTGGTTAACAAAGTTGTCAAGCCTGTTACACTGATGATTGTCATGTGTTTTATTTGCTGTAGCTGTGAATCTCTTTGTCTCACACACAAACACAAACATTATCTCCTTTTCTCTCTCTCTCCTTTAATTCTTAATGATCTCAAACCCAATCTTCTTTATCACTCCCTTTTTTTCTTTTTTCTTTTTTTTTTACAACAAGCGCTCATCCATCAACCTGTCAAGGTCAGAGTCATAAAATGTTGCTGATGAGCCTCTCACACATCTGTTGTGATATCCTGCCCCCATGTGGTCATAAAGTGTAAGTCCAGTAATGTGACAAGCCCCCTCACGGTCACGGTGCGCCCACACAGGTGTTTTCACTTAATGAGCTTAATTAGACCTCTCCTCAGAACTGTGTGGGCGTGACATTTTCTTAAACCTCATCTGCGTTGATTTTGTCACCTCATTATTTAAAATCAGCTTCTTTTTTTTTCCACGTCGTGTTTGAACTCAAATCTCAAAGTGGTAATTATCAAGCTGTCAGCCATATCCGAGGTGAATTATAGAGAAAGCTGTAAAGAAGTCTCCATGAATTTAAAACACCAAATGAATCTATTATACCTAAAGCTGCTTTGTTGTGTCACAGAGAGACACATCCGTCTCTCTCCTGTTGGTTTTATTGCACAGTTTAACTTCTACCTTTATCACCTCAGACAAAACCACTGCACATGTTCAACCCGAGCAGAGGCCTAATCAGCCAGTAATTAGAAACACCTGTATGGTTGTGCAGAGCTTTAATTCAGGTAGAAAGTGTAGCAGAGTCTCCAGGAGGCTGTAATGCTCATCACACACCAGGGGCCACTTTCACAAAGACAGACTCTGACTCTTAGAAAGAACAAACAGTTTAGTTCTTTACTATCTTAAGCCGGATTTTGGTACAATGACTTCTGGGTAAATTAAGATGTTTTTCAATATAAAACCGCTCAGCTCAGTTTACCCTCAGCAGAAAGTGGAAGAATTCAAAAGATACCAGGATGTTTTACTTTGAAAATTCAGCAAAAAGTAATAAGAAGTAAAATAAAAGTCTGATTCACTCTCTCCTTCACAATGTCAGAAAACTACATATATGAGCCATGTTTTCCTGATCTTTTGTTGTTGGGTGCCACTGGTCAGCGCAGGTGTCACTGATTACTAAGTTACCATGGTAACACTGATCTTAGCCCTATCTTATCCCGGGGATAAGGTGTCTAACGTTTTAGTCTGATATAATATATACATTACGTCTTTGTTTATGATGCCTATAATGTTCTGTTTTAGTTGAGTTCCTTTTGATATTATGTTAGCATGATAATATGCTATGTTTAGTATGTGGCACTGAAGCGTATTACAGCCTTCATTTATTATGAAAACATGTCTACACTTCATAAGTTCTATAGCATGCTAACACTATTAGCATTACTCTCAAAGCAGTGCTGCGGCTCACACGCTCTGTAACTGGTTTCAGACTTATCCTGCTGTGGCGTGAAGTTTTGGATAAGTGAAAGTAAAATAAAAAATAAAAAGTCAGGGATTAACCTGTGAATCATTAATATTGATCCGCTGGAGAGCATCAAGGTTTGTGCCAAAGTCCATGGTAATTAATACAGATGTTGAAATATTTCACTCACAGACTAACCTGCTGACACTACCGGCATCTGAACTGCACTGTTAAAATACTAATGCTTGTTTGAAACATGTTTAATAGATGTCTCACACTTTAAAGTTTTTTGTTGCGGGTCAGAATTTCCTGTATTTGTATTATTTAGTAGAATTTACAAAGTGACTCCTCGTGTCTTTGTTGTGGTTTTTGATGCGGAGATGATTTCTGTAGATTCAAGACCAAAACAGCACAATCGTTTCTTTGTTACCACATTTTATTTTTCAAACAACATATAGAGTACTTTACACAAAAACCAAGCCATTATCTGCTTCAAATATTTACATAAAACTTTGTAGAGAGACAGAAAAAAACAAAAAAAAAAAACATTCTTTGGGTCTGACCATGCAAAACAATAAATAATGTTCCTGACGGCGCTCTGCATGGTGCTTTCAAGACTGCTATTCAGCAATAAAAATAAAAAACAAAGCTTCAGATTTTAGTTGGCGATACATAAAGCTGCCCTGGTCCACACAGTCATCAGACATGCCTCGACCTAAGACTAGGCAACAAGACAAGCAGGGACTTTGACTCAGAGTAGGTCAGGTGCACCTCAACACATTTGCCACAGCACAGTATGCACTCGTTTGTTCTGAGGCAATCCACACTATTCCAATTTTAAGCAAAGTGTTGACCAGGATAGATAAGAGAAATTAAAAAGTGAGATGTGCAACAGTTTTCAGTGAAAAGCTTAAGATTACGTAGAAGAACTGCAGCATCCTGGAAGGACGAAGCACTGTACACGAAGGACCTCAGATGTTTTGCTCAGCAAGGCCTTAAAATGTCGTCAGCGACGCTCTCGTCACCGAGACACAACGAGCGGGAGCTTGAAGTTGACATTACAAAAGTACAGTTCTCACTCCTTTCACCCCTCAGCAAGGCGACAGACAGTGTGCAGATGTGATCCCCCGAGCCCTCCTCCCGAAGGCCCGGGTCCAGAATCTGCTCCTCTCCTCCCTCTTCCTCCCTCTTCCTCCCCATCAGCGGTGGCTCAGGTGATAACTTGTGGCTCCCAGGTCTGGCTGGCCATCTGGGGGCGACACTGTGTGATGACTGGGGGACCCGTCGGGGTGTTGCTGTCCAGACAGAGGCCGCTGACCATGTGCTGCAGAGCCGTGCCTTTTGGTTTCCACTTCTGCAGCGAGAGGGAGAGAGGGAGAGAGGGAGAGAGAGAGAGAGAGAGAGAGAGAGAGAAGAAAAAACGGAAAAAACATCGATTCATCTCTGTCGTTCAGTTTTAGAGAAAGCACACACGTCCTCATGCGTCCTGTGTTGTGTAATATTCCCTGCACATGAATGATGTATATCAGCACCGGAGGTTCATGTTAGAAGTGAGTAATGGACTGAGTCAGACCTGGATTACAGTGATCAGACCAATGATTGACCGCCTCTACTCACAGTGGAAAAATCAAAGTAAAAGCAGGCTGCAGTGCACGGCAGCCTGCCACCCCACAACACAAGAAACTATTTGTTTTTGCTGATAAACGTCCTGTGTGTGCTCCATTAGTTCCTGAGATCAGCAGCGCTGGAGTGTAACTTACAGGGGCAAATAAAAAAGAAATGTGATGCACTGCGACTAATTACCTAGTAGTATTTAAACTTAATTAATCCAATTACGTAAAACGCTTTTAATCTAATAATATAATATATAACAGTGAACCACTCGCAGGGGCCGTTTTTCTGTGTTATGTAAACTTTTATTTTGACTTATAAAGTATATACGTACATGTAGGTGAAGGTGTCTGTGTTAGAGTCTAGTGAAATTTATTTTTACATAAACACAATATACAAACAATAATATATTGTTTGTAATAATATCTGACTAATCTATGCATCGAGCTCCAGTCTGTACGTGAATATTTGTCTGTACATAACATATCATATATAATAGTTGCATTTTTTAAATGTGCAAACTAATAAGTAATTAATATTTGTGATTAAGTGTCCAGCTCTCAGTATGATGCAACATAATTTAACAGCACTATATCCACTCTATCCAACAAACACTGGACATTATAACCTTCATGAGGGATTCACTGCAGGACTGTAAACCTGAATACAGAACATAATCCATACAATATCAAGAGGTATATTTAACTGTAGGATAGAGCTTATTACCAATTCATATTATCACCCTTGCTGCAAAAATTGGTGTGAAAAAGCCGTTGTAATTCTTTATTTTTATCTAGCTGTACTTTCTGCTAATGTCTATCAGTGGTTATCGTTGAATCAGTTAATCCTTCACCCTTCCCCACAATCAATCACAGCGCACTCCGATAAGGCGGATTCAGACATGTCATTTAATTTCACTTCTTTCTTACCAACGCACCAGATTAGTTTTTGTCTTGTGATGTTTTTTTGTAGTTTTTTTAATCTCCATAAAAGTGTGTGTAAAAGCGCCGGAGCGAGTTTGGCAAAAGAAACCTTTAGAACAAGAGTAAGAGAGAGTGAGAGAGTGTGTCCCTCATAAACAGGCAGTCTATAAATCAGCTGATATTAGTGGTTTGCTCATTAGCTCGCTGATTAAATAGTTGGAGCAGCAGCAGAGCAACAGAGTGCCACGTACAGATGTCTTGAGCAACGTGGAGGCGGATCATCAAAGTGCGGTGGTGAACGAGGGGTTAACCTTAAAATCCCAGAGGGGTGTGTCTGTGTGTGTGTGTGTGTGTGTGTGTGTGGTGTAACTGTGCAGAGAGGGAGGGAATGAAAATGTAACAGTCGAGTTTTAAAAGCTTGAAATATTATATACAACAGTAAATGTGTAATAAAGCTGCAGAGAGAGAAAAGATTCAGAGCCAGTTTTCTGTCTTGAAATGCAGCTCGTTCACGCCAAAGACTTTCCAAGTATTTCATTCTGTTTATTGTTGCTGGACGAGCCTCTAGAGCAGCTTTTAGACCAGGATCGGACAAAGCATCACCAGTAAAACCCAAACTAATGAAATTCTTCCAGGATTAAACTAAGAAATTATTTACAAAAAAACAAAAAAACACTCAATAAAAAAATTTATGCAGAGAAAATGAAATGTTGCAAAACTTACAGGGAAAACCCTCTCATTATACTGATGTCATGAAAGCTCGATATTTCTAACATCTGTCAATAATCTGTTTTGGTTTAATGATGAAATGTGACACATATTAACATTTAAAAAAAAAAAAAGGCACCACAAATCTGTTGTTGCTCCCAGAGTTAAACGCTTCAGTGCTCTTTCATTTAGACAGCAAAGTCAGAAACAAGAAAGAGCGCAAGTAACTTTTTCCTTTCTATGGGATTAAACACTGAGGACAAAGGAGCCAAATGTCTCCCACAGCACAAACTGATTGCTTGTTAATCTCCCAGTGAACTCTCGGAGGACTGCAGCGGGCCTGCAGAGAGATGAGAGGATGGTCTGGCAGGAGTCCCGCACACTCACACACATGGTTCAAGTTAATAACTCCCTTCTGCGATGTCGTAAATCAACCGCGCGGCCAACGCGGGGTCCACACGGGATGCGAGTGTTCGACATTCACAAAGGGCAGAAACGAGAGAGGAACAGGGTGGGGTCTGGAGTTATGGGAGCGCTTGTTCTACGAGCATCTACGAATTGGACTTCTCTTCCTTCGGACAGGGAGCTGTACCAATCGGGCCGCTCGGATCGCGTCAGCCTCCCGGCAGCTCAGCATCTGTCACGGAACCACCTCTTATCTCCAGATCGACTCAGATCGGTCCGAGTTCAGCGCTGTGAGTGGATGGTTCCACTATACTAACCTAAGACCTTCTGTTAACATGACTGATAGTGGAAGATTAAAGCCTGGAGTCCTGTTTCTGCTGTTAATCCTTAGTTTAACCCTTCGTTTACCTCATAACTACACAAATGTCACTACTATAAAACACAGTAGCTACAGATGTCAGAGAGGAAACTTCACTGTTAACTAGGTCTGAAATGATGCACTTCGCCTTCTATAAGTAAACTTATTTTATTTTAATGATTTATTATTTAATTTATTATTCTATTGTTATTTCTTCTCCTTTTACATTCATGTTATTAATGTTTTTCATTTTACATCAGTGTTTTGTTTTCATGTGAAGCCCTTGGTGCATGAAAGGTTGCAGGTGCTCTACAAATAAAGTTTATTATTATTATTATTGTCATTACTACGTTCTTCTTACCTGTCTGGGCTCTTTTGTGTTGCAGGGCTCCATCTTGACCTTTGACCCCGCTGTGAAGGCTGAAATGGCCAAGCAGAGGTCCTGCTGTCGGATCAGCGGCTCTATCAGCTCCCACCTCTGGAAAACACAGAGGAAAACACACAGGACACATACTGAGATTTTCAGAGGAACTTTTTTTTTTTTCTTTTATAATGCACAAATATCACATCTGACATAACAACCTTTCAGTTCACAATTAATCACAATAATTGATTTCCATACTGCACAGCAATCCAACAGGTTTGTGTAAACACTGGCACCAAGGCAGTTAACTTTACTGCATTGCATATTTGCACTGCTATCAATCAGAAAACCAAAATGTCTCTGTCCAGCTGATTTAAAGAGATGCAGTCTGAAATGAAGGAACTCGCTTGGATTTGCTTCCTGGAAAGAAAAGAGCTTTTCCAAGATTCTCTCACATTCACTGGCCTGAGCCACGTTTCCTCGTCGCTGATGTACTCCTGAATCTTTTTGTATCACTTGCCTGTTTTTTATCTGAACCGCAGAGTAGAGGTGTCGACCGAACGACTAATAATAACTGTGATGAAGTTGAGGGTAAAATCGCAGCAGTGATAAATGTTGACTAATGTGACCAAACTTAAATTAAGGTTTTAGCACGTTCTTCCTTATTTAGCATATGTTTCTCAGCTCTGTAACCCAGCAACAGACCAGGTTTTCTTTCACCTTGGCAACAGGATACGAAGCTTGAGATGAACATGTTGATAAATATGTCGTATTTTCCAAAAGGAAAAACACAACATGATGAAGGCATCTCATATCAGAGCCATTTATGTTCCTTCATTTGTCTTAAAAGAACATTGCTAAGTCACGCAGTCATTGCATTTTCTACACCTCTAAGGATCCATGTAATCGTCCCTGCGGCTTCTATATCCTCACATCAGCGCGTTAATTGTTAACACGCCCGCATGTCTGCGTCATCAGGTCAAATTCCTGCACATTTATTGTATTTAAAAGCAATTAATTCAGACTTTAAGAGCAGGGAGTCTCCTGAGAGTCCGGACCTGTGATGGTGGCCTGTTGGCGCCGATGCCCCTGCACTCCGCCAGGCCCAGGATGTCGGTCCCACGGGTCTCCAGACACAAACCGCCTTGTTTGAGCACACTGGACACCGCCTCCTGCTCGGGGACCCTGAGGGACGCGTTCACAGAGAGGAGAGAGGTCGGCGAAAGGTCGTGTTACGACAGCAGAGAACATTTGGATTGAACTGACTATTCGCCCTGTTGAGTAACTGAATCACACCACCACAGAGTAATCTGCCTTATTACAACATGTGCGATTACGATTTGAGAAACCAGTTATCTGGAAAGGAGCCACAGGTCCAGCTGGAGAGGTGGGGGCTTTCTCTTGAGAAACAAGCTGGTGGGACACACACTGATAAACCATCAAGAGATTCCCATCCAAATCAGATACAGACCCCGCTGTATATTTAGATTACTGGCTCTGAACTTGAGGGTCATGGCACCCCGAGGGGTTTCAAGATTATTTTGTGCTGGGGAAAAAAGAAAAAAGAAAAGAAATCCCTGGTGCATTTCTTATTGTGTCTTTTTTTTTTTTTTGATATGAAATGATGGTTGAAAGTGATTTCTGCCTCATTTCTGGCTCTTGGCCTCCTCCAATAATCAATCAAAACAAACACAGGTGAACAAACTTTTCAAGTATTTTCCATTTGTTGGTTTTTAATGGCGTTTGGAAGAAAACCTTGGTTCTCTTTGGTGTTACATAACAGACAGCACAACTAGAATATTAAGATTTTCATTAGGCCCACAGGTGAGACATGAGACAACCTGCATACGGCGACGTGTCGTACCTCAGCTCGGGATAGACGTTCTCCATGTACCAGCGGAAAGGTTTGCAGTTCAGCTTCCGCCGCAGGGTCAAACGGTCGGCGATGCTGCGCGAAACAAAAGGTGCGATGTCGAGACGAAGGGGGGAAAAGTAGGGATGAGAAAGACATTTAAAAGTTAGAGCTAAATCCAAACAGGAAACTAGAGCGTGTGGAGCCCAGAGGACGACAATCAGCAGCTTGGTGAAGAAAAACTCAGCTACAAACTCAGCTAATGGGGATTTTACTAACAGCAGTGTTAAACCAGCAACAACTCATTTCTGCTAATCAGGGCTTTTTGTTGTAATCCACAAACACAGCAGTGGCTTTCATGCAAATGCGCTGGTCCACGCATGCAAACGTCACTGCAGCTAGTGAGCCGCTGCCTCCGTAACACACTGAGAGAGACGAGGATGAAGGTACAAACCTCCCGAAAGCCTTGCCCTGGGCCGACGGCCTGGCAGAGTAGTAGTACTGTTTATACTCGTCCATCCACACCTCGGCAGCCCGCCGGGTGTTCCTGCACGGACACAGACACAACACCTGCTCAGACAAACAGTAATGACAGAGCTGCTGGCATTCCTGCAGCCAAAATCTAATGGCAAGTGTCGCAGACACAGACGCCCTCAGACGCCAGAGAAGCCAATAAACAACCAAAAAAAAAAAAAAGTTTCCATCAGGAATTTCATCATCCTTAAATTCCTGGTGTATTTGCAAGTGAAGACAAACAGGAAGATGAGATTTGAGGTTTTGGATTCTTTCAGAACACTTCAGCTTGTTTTCGACAGTGGAAGCACAAGATGTTTATACAAAAACTGCATCTATATTTTCAGCATCAGCTGATATACTGTGTTTATTATGTGTGTTCAGGGCAGAATGAAGCCTTTTAAAACTTTATTTTTCTTTATTTTATTTTGCATTTAATTTTGTTTCCTAAACTGATCATGAAGGCTAATAAGTAGTTAACAATCACTATACTGGTGCTAGGAGCACAGGGAGCAGGGTACCACTTCACAATCACACTAACCTCATAAAGGATTTATCTTACTATTATATCATTTATTTATCTTATTTATCTTATATCATCTTATATCAAATGATCAGATTCATACTTGTGTTGTCTAACTCGACACGCTATCAGCAGCCGTCCTCATGATAATCACAGGCGTTGATGTGACATGTGGTAACTCATTAATAAATGATGATGTGTTTTACACTTTACGATTATGATTTATTAAGTGTTGACAACCGAATGAATAACCTAACTGTAAATCATTTTGTAAGGGAAGTCTTACTGTGAAGTGGTGGCTAATAAAGTTGTATTGTCACTGTTGATCTTTCGACATCATTTCCTGTGAACGTTTCTCCCTCCAGAGAAGGTCAGATCTGGAGTTTAACAGTCAGTGTCCTGTTTTTAAATTACATAAGGTCTATAATGCCTTTTCTAAATCCCACTCGTTGCCACTTCTGGGTCAAAACGTGTGAAAAGTGTGAAATGTGTGAAATGTGTCCGCCGAGGCACTTAACTTGCAACATGCGACACTTCAGATTTTAAGCTTCTCTGCAGCTGGGAAATCGTTATGCAGTGTAACAACACAGGACGCCAGGTTTTCTCTCACAGATCGACCCACTCACTTAATGTAGGTGAGAGCGTTGCCTTCTGGGAAGTCGTACGGGTGTCGCTTCCTGAACACGTGACCCACGCGGCTACAGGGAAGAATCTCCAGACTTCCTCCACACATCCACACCCGGAAGGAAAGCTCTGCAGGGGAAGAGGGGTGGGGTGGGGGGGCGGAGATGATGAGGCAAAGAATGCAGACGTTACACCGTTTAACTTGCACCACCCCAGTTCCAGCCTGGTCTTGTTCACCTGCTTCATTTTTCATGCAGCACATCACTATAACCTGTTAATCAATACTATGAAAGCTGTTGTGGCCGAAGAGTTAACGCTCTGCTGCTGCCTTGTTTTAATTGCGAGGACACGTTTGTCCGCTCGACCTCCGCAGCATCCAAAAGGATCTGCAGTCGTCCGGAGTCAGACAGGCCGCGACACGACGGATTACTGGGGAATGGAGACACAGTCAACAGCAGCAGGAGGGAGGTGTGGCCATGACGACAGCATCACGTGACGACAAACAGCTAAACTAAAAGTTAAAGAACAAACACCCACGTCAAAAAAGAACCTGCTACCGCAGAGAAACCTAAATATATAAATGTATTTAAAACATAACAATCACAAAAAATATGATGTTTGTTCATTCGTATGATCTCAACAGAGAAAAAGATGATTTTGAGACTGAGAATGTTTCAAGGGAATTAAGACGTTAAAATTTCCACTTTTCCACTCTCCAATTTTGAACATTTCATTGTTATTTATGAGTTTAACTTCGTGACTCTTCAGTTGTGAGTTTCTCACATAAACAAACACTTTTCTTCACTCTTGAATAAACATATTTTTTTTCTTTGGTAAATGAATGATTTTTGTTCTTGTAAACACGAGACTCTTTATTAGTTTATGCTGAATGGGGAAAAACCATTATCCTTCTCATTGTGCACACTAATGGGGTGAATCCAGGTCAAACCCATTATCTCTCATGGATTTTCCTTTTAAAATAAGTGACCTGTGGCATGTCTAAGTTTAGAGACAACATATAGGAATCTGGTTCAGTTTTCCAATTCAGTGCTTTTTATCTCATCCTCCTATTTCCCATCTTCTAGCCTCTTATTTAAAGCAAAGCTCTTTTACAAAATGCCAAAGTATTAATTATTTAAAGATACTGCGAGTGGGATTTCTGCGGAGGATGATGAATAAAAAGTCATTATTCTGATTCAAGACAAAGTTCAAAATCATCAGTGAGCTCACCGAAGTTCTCCCCTCCCCAGATGTCCATGTGGGTGTCGTACTGGCCCAGGTGGTTGAACCAGCTCTTGTCCATGACGAAGATCCCGCCAGCGATGACGGGCGTCCTGCAGGGAGCGGAGGGAAGGAGTCAGCGAGGTTTTTAGGAGCCTGAAGACGGCACAGCTTTCTAACTCTGCAGATGAGTTTGACGTACTTCAATCCGAGTTATATATCCATGGAGAAAAACTACAGATCAAAGTAAGTAACTGAGTTTGGATTCCTATATTTCAGGATGTTATAAAGCAGCTGAATCCCGCCACGGGTAAAAGAATTTAATCTGTAAACAAGAGATATCACAAATGTTCCCACGTGACAGAAAATAAAAGACAGAAAAGGTTTTATATTGTTAAACAAGAAGAAATCCGCCAACTAACGACATGACTTGAACATAATTTGACCTTTTTGTCTTCGAGCATCACTGAAGGTCCCACTTCACAATAAGACTGGCCTTATAACGGATTTATGAACTTGCCAAATAATGAGACTGATTCTTCCCCCATCCATCTTCATGTTTCTTCATCTACTTTTTACAAACCGTTTATTTATCAGTTAAAAACATTTATAACTGGTAAAAGTGTGAAACACATCACCATTTATTAATCAGTTGCTATAAGGCTCCTTTTACCAGTTATACAAGGTAGTAAGCATTGATCAACTTGATCTTGCCAAATAGTGAGCCTGCATTAGTGTGTGAAAACTGTGTTACAATTTGTTCATAATTGTGTATTTATGAATAAAAAAATAAATCCTTTATAAGGGTGGTTTTATTGTGAAGTGGTTCCCAGTGTATTAATGAATGAATAATAATAATATTTCATACATATACATGATATACTGCACCATGTACACATGCACTGGATCCCTGCACCATGAAAGAGGAGGAAGAGGAGTGATGATGAGTAGCAGACGTACCTGATTGGCTGCGTGGGGTCACTCCTCGCCATTTTCTGCTCGATGGGAATCTGCTCCCATTTGAAATGGAGACTCCAGTCGAACCCTGACAAGAGAACGACAGTGAGACAGCGAGTCAAACCCGGCAGACATCAGTCCTGACGCAGCCGAGAAGACGACGAGAACGACCCCCACCGTTCAAACCCATCATGGCTACAAACACCGACAGGGAACCGTTGCTGTTGAATGAAAACTTTCTATCTTCACAAACTTTATATCCAGAGTGACTTCAATCAAAACTTTTAAAATTTGTTACTGGCTTCGAGTTGATCTGGCGAAGAACGGTGATGTCTCATCGAGGTATTTGTGAAACGGGGGTTTTCCTCGACGACAGCTGTGTGCTATTATCTGGTGCTGTTAGTGATTTGTTGTGTGTTTTTTGCGTCCTGACCTCCTCTCAGGTCCGCAGAGGCAGCCAAGTAGGCGAAGTTATCCAGGCTGATGACGTCAATGATGGGGCTGACCACACGCGTATGGTCCTGCACGGGAGGAGAAGACACATCACATCATCATCATCGAGACTCTCCACTGACGTGATTAAACGTGTCGCACTTGAACTCCTCAGAGTATTTCTGTGCTTCCCTTGCAAGGATGGAAGTCATAAAAGTTTTTAAAGTCAGCGTGTTTTATATTAGAATCCATTACATTTAAATCACAGACATATTTTCGGTATAAGAACATTAGAAAGTGGGTATGAAAATGAAAACATGTCGTGTAGAGATCACCAACAGAAATGCTCCCATCTAACCATCACAGTGGTTTCACTTGTATCTATCCTGCTGATGTCAAAAAGTCTTCTACAACAAACAACAAACAAACAGTGTAATATCACACACTGAACTCTCACTTCCTTCTTCAGAGAATGTTATATCACAACTTTTATCCTTTATAGCATCCTCTCCCTCTGTGCTGCAGATTAGATTTGACATCAATAAAAACACGACATGCAGAATAGTCATTGTAAGATGTAGTTAAATCTTGATGCACAGTTTCTGACTAACGATTAAAAGTGAACAAACGACGCAGCAAATAAAGAATATAAATGACAATTACTTGTTTTGCGCTGCTGTTTCCGCCTCGGGTGGATTTAACACCGAGTGAAACATTGACTCTTTATCAGAATAATTCTGTCTCTTTTATAAACTTCATTCACCGTTGGATTTTTCCGTGATAAATTTGACTTTGGACCAAGTAAAGAGATAAGAAAAAGGTACGACACGCTGTCTAAAGCCAGAACATTTCATCAAACAACGTTTTAATCAGATGAGAATCTTTCCCAGGATGTTGAAGTTCGGCAAATTAATCAAGTTGTCTTAGCGTGTGTCAAGAGAATAAATCAGTGCATACTGATGAATATTAAATATTGCACCACCCTGTGGGGGCAATGACTTCGTCTCCCGGTGGAATATGTGGCGAAATCCAGGCTTGATGATTAACTGCCTGAGGATCTTGTGGTTTTGATAAGCAGAGATGATTACTGGTAACAGAGCGCCGTTGTATGTTTGCAGTGTTTTTGTGTGTTCGGCTTATTAGAATAAAAATTAGAATAAAGAGAGAATGAAATAAATAAATGGCACCAGTTATTTGTGCAGAACACAGAGGGTTTTACCCACAGTTCATAGTGGACACGGACTCATGAGAAGTGAACTCTGAACCTCCTGCTGCACCAGCAACACGAACCCAGAGCGAACGCAGCAGAGCGAGGGAGCCGTTGATTGCTGATGAGTCTCTGCGTGTGAGCGTCGCCTGCATCTGTCCGCGAGAGCGCGTCTGTGCCAACGCCGCTGTTTGCCCATGAGGCATCGGTGCGACGGCTTCACATCGGGACGCCACAAATGACTGTTTCCAATTAGAGCTGTCCCTCTCTTCTGCTCACAATCTGAACCCAACCTGAACTTTGTGCTCATTGCACCAAAAAAAAAAAGTGCGGGGGAAGAGCGAGTGTGAAATGCCACTCTGCCAGAGAGCAATTTGGAAAGTGATGCTCTCAACAGCTTCAAGCAATAGACATTTATTGGGCTTTTAATGAGGCTGTGTGATTTTCGTAATGTGTGAGGAGGCTGCACTTCCAAAGTGGATGTCATCGATGATCTCTGGATATCTCTGCTCTCTTTTCCTCTTTTGTTCTTTTCTGTGTTTGAATCTATTACAGAGTGAGAGTGCTGTGATTTTTTTTTTTGATAAAATAATTTAAGCTTATTTCTTTTTGTATAAATATATATATAAATATATAGCTGTGGAAAACAGCTCTGATTTATATGAAAAGTAGAGAATTAAAAAGCTTTATCTGTGACTCGACATGAGTTTCTCCACACGACGTGCGACATGTGGAGATCTCTGTCCCTTTGCTTCATCACCCAGTAATGTCACATCAGTGTCTGAGTAATAGAGCAACAGAGGACACACTGTCCAGCTGGGGTTAAAGGTCAAGAGCCAGGCTTCTGTTCCTCTGCCTTGAATCATGTTCCTCTGCTGCTCGTGCTTATACCGCCTACACCATGTGGAGATATAGTATTCTGCCGCTGGTGGTGCCGATCACACGTTTGACTTCACAGAAACAAGGCAGCAGTGGATGAGGTTAAAATCTCAACACTTGTTATCTTGAGTGATTAAGAATGAAACTGGTCAATCAATACAATCAATTAAAAATGCAACAGATCTGTAGTACTGCAAGTGATCAGCCTAATTTACTAAATTAACAATCATCTCAATTTATTTCTTAAGATATTTAGTGTTTATATCAGCTCTGTCTATAATGACGCACCTTTCTTTATCCTGTTCCCTCTGTGCAAAGAGATAATTGATAAAAAAAACGGCACAACATGTGAGTAAAATCGTAAATAAACGTGTAATAAATGCCTAAAATGCATTTATAAAGTGTTGTCTGTCTCTCTGCTCTGAAGCCTTGTAGCTCCGCCTCTGAGTCAGGTGCGATCTCGCCAGAATATGAAACCGAGAGTGGAGAGTTCACAGACTTTTAACAACATTTAAACCACATATCTACATTGTAGATATTGATAGAAACATCCGTCGACCTCAGAGGGTTAATATAGAGCTGTACATTGGTATTAGTATTGTACTGAGGTATTTCTACTAAACCGGGGTATTTTAATCCTCTGCCACTTCCGCATTCACAAACTATCCAGACCCCGTCACAATGTCGCAGCCTCATGCTGAAATCGTTTAAATCTGGGCTTCCCACCCTGATTGTCCGCGGCCTCCTGGTGAACCGTGATGGCACCGCAGGGGGTCCCTCACCATGCATTCAATAATGTAGTTTCACTGTGGGAATCATAATGTTTTGATTTCTTTTTTACTCCCCTTCCTTTTTCTTGTCCCCATCCACCGCTGTATTCCCAATAACAGACAGACTGTGTGGGATTCACCACGCCCAGAAACGGACACTGGTTTAAATGAATTGTTTCCCTCATTAATCTACACTCAGTGACCTGCGGCATAATGATAAAGCAAAACATGTAAAAAGGAAAAACTTAACATCACCCTGCATCAGTAATAATGAGTTAATAATAAAGCGACAGGCGCCTTTTGGGACTTTCACTACATTATACTGACTCAACTATAACTTTACTTGTAACAGAGAGTTTTTACATTGTGGTTCTGCTACTTCAACTCAAGTCAACGACTCGAGTGTTGACTCCGCCCCCCCCCCGGCCCACAGGCCTGTCTGACTGCAGTTAAAACAAACAGCTATTCACAGTGATACTGAATTCCTCTTCTTTCGCTCGTTTCATTGGCTCTCATGCTAACGTCGGCCTACGGAACGTTTTGGCTCCAGCTTTCACTTCATCAGAGAGACTTTCTGCTTCAAGAGAGAGATGTTCTCATCTGAAATGCTAATTGTTTTTTGGTCTATTAGACAAACGGTTCCCGCCCTGGAGTCGGGTCCCAGGAGAAACATGAGAGGGCGACGGGGTTTGAAGATGAAAAAACATATTTTTATTGCACTTTGCTATCATCTGTGATTTTCTTTCTTGTGAATTAGGTTGATGTTGGTGACGAGAGGGTCGACAAGACGGAAAGGTTTTGTCATGAGAACAACAGGGAGGGGACAAACATATAACAAACAGGAGGGAAAAAAAGGGGGGAGAACCAACAGATATGAGGTCATAGGATGATCAATAAGTCTTATAAAGGATCCGCCTCACTGGCTAAATAAAAAAACATTTTTCCATCCTTTTTCTCCCAATTCTTTTTGGAGTCAGTCATCTTTTCTAGAAGATTCTATATAGACTCTATAATCTATAATGTTTGACAACACTGATCAGGAGTTTTCAGGAGACAGGTGTCTCGGTCCGTCAGGAGCGTGTCCGAGACAGAACGTTACATTGATATTAAAACCCTGAGTTTTTCAGATAGTTGTTGCTCCATCCTTCCAGAAAGAGCGGACAGAAGCTACTGTGAGTGTTCAGTGTGTAACTGAGGGAGCAGATTACCTTCAGCACATTACAGTTATTCTCTGTGGTGTACGGAAGGTATTAAATATCACCTCAACCCAAAGACCACAGCAGAGGGAGTGAATATTACAGGCTGTATCTTCAGCTGTAATCCCTCAACATGTGTGAGCGGAGAGCTCATTATTGGCACTTAATTACTAATTAACTTCAAAGCTTTTTTTCAGTTGCTGTTTTAATGAAAAGCATCGTTAAAGAACAGACTGGACGGTGACCCCCCCCCCCATCAGCACTCCTGCTCCCGGAGGCCTTTATGAACACGAGCCTGTGGCGGCGGGAGGATGAATGAATCCAGGCCCGAGGAGCCGTTACCGCTGAGCCCTGCGCTCTCATGACCGCCGGACCAAGAGACTGTAATACAAGCCGGATGATTCAGAGCCGGGGATGAGTGTACGGAAAGACAATGTGCACACACTCACTCGCAGCGTGTAGAGGCTCCTGAATAAAACATTGAGATTTTCTGAATATGTGGTTTGAATATGAGTTTTGTTGCATGCAGAGTTTCTGAATGAGTTCAGGTTGTTTTCTGGTTTGTTTACTTTCTGAACAAACTGCAGATCCTGTCCTTCAGCAAGGTGACTGCTCACTTTTTACACTGCGAGTAAATACCTCGACTTTTAAAGGAACAGTTCGGCAATTTGAGTCACTTCTTTTCTTGCAGAGCGTTAGATGAGAAGTATCGAACGACAGCACTCTCATGTCCGTACACTGAAACATGAAGCTACTTTCATTAGAGCAGTGGTTCCCTCCTTGCAATACCCTCACGGCCCACCAGGGGGGCGCGGCCCCACGGGTTGGGAACCACCACATTAGATGGTTAACTTTGCTTCGCATGAAGGCTGGAAAAAGGGGGAAACAGCTGTATCTGAAGGGAACAAAATCCACCGACTAAAACCTGTAAATCACATTATATCTTCTGTTTTTTCATCTGTACATGAACCTGTGTGAAACAGCAAACTTCTCTTTTGGCTCTTCAGGTTGTGTTTGAATAAAACGACATAATGTGTTAGTTAGTCAGCTTTAAAGGTGCTAATAGGCTAAATTACCTTCAGACAGAGCCCAGTCTTTATGCTAAGCTAAGCTAAGCTAAGATAACCAGCTGCTGGTTCCAGCTACAGAGAGTGGTATCAGTCTTCTCAGCTAACGCTCAGCAGACTGTTGAACTATTTCTATGATTAAAAGGCAGAGTTGAGTGAAGTGTTTTTTTGTGTGTTGACAGAACTTCCAGTGAATCGAGGTGGTGGATACAGATGCAGCGCCGCCTTGAAACCAGAGCGGAAAAGGGAGTGGGCGAAGTAATGAGGCGCATTGGAAGCAGCTCGGTCTTCAGAGTCAGACTCATGAGAGGAGACGCGATCACTGAGAGAAATATGAGATGAAACAGTTCCCGATGCAGAGTCGACGGGAGTGTTCGGCCGAGTGTGATGGGAGATTGGCAGCAGACTTGGGGGGAGCAGCTGTGCTGGTTAGAGCCCAGTTGCAGGTTCATAATGTCAGGGGAGGGAGGAGAGAGCCAGCAACGCTCTATCAGTCATTACTGAGTGATTCAGCTCTCTTTCCACAGCTACATCTCTCTTTATCAAAACGCCAGACCCTCATGTCTCAGTAAGTGCTCACAGTTCACTTAAGTGTCCGTGGATGCATGTGTTTACATGACACTGGTAGAGAAGAGCAGAAAGTGAGGGCTGACAGCCAAAAACCCCCCCCCCCCTCCCCCCGATGATGAAGAGTGGCTGGTTTTGCATTTCATCCTGTGCACATTTGAACAAACATTCATGTATGGATGCGGTGCTTCGGTGTCCCTGGTGCGCTGCATGACTTAATTTGTTAGGATGCGGTGAATTGGGAGAATCTTCCCACCGCATTAGGAATCAGAAAAGAGCCCAGCATGCAGCATGGAGCCGGAGCCAACGCTGTCACTATGCGCAACACAAACCACGGCTGCGACACAAAACAGACCACCTAATCTAGTGAGACGCTCCAGCGTCAAGTGGAAAACACATCGGTCGGGAAAATGGCACCGTGCTCTTTCCAGCAGTGGCGAAGCGGAGTGTGACATCTGGTCTACAATGACTTAAATCTGAGCTGAACAAATTGAGTGTTTATTTAACAATACGCCATGCCAACGTATTACATCATGGCCAATAAAATCTGCCCTGAAAGGAGCAAATTCCCCTGAAGCGTTACATCACAGGGGCAAAAAGAAAAAAGAAAAAGCAAATGTTCCACTTCCAAAATGTGTGTGTGTGTGTGTGTGTGTGTGTGTGTGTGAGTGAATGAGCTGCATGCAATAAGAGTCTAATTGGAGAGTGTGAATGACGGCAGACTGTACCTCCTTCACTCGCTGGATCATCGGCTGCAGCCAGTCGGCGTTGACCTCGCAGTGGCTGTCCAGGAAGGTCAAGATGGAGGCAGAGGCCGTGTTGGCTCCTCGCACACGCGATCGGATCAGACCTGAGGGGAAGCACAGGGCGGGAATGACACTGAAGTCTGAAACCAGCGTTGGATCTCACTCGATGCCAACAGGGAGGGAGTCGCCTGATGTTGAAAAGGAAAATGCCGCCGTGAAACCAAAGCACGTTTTCTGGGTCACTGTTAAAGTTGCACTCCGCTGCTTTAACACGTCATAGTGAAGACCTTTTGTAAACGATGACGCTCCCTGATTGGCTCTCATCAGCCTGGACTACCAGTGGTGAATACAACATGGATAATGAATTACAAGTATTAACTGACCTTGTCGTCTTTGCTAGCAGCTGTTGTTCAGTTAAATCCTGTATTTTAACACTGCAGCTGTTTTTGTTCTTGCTCGTTCGTAGTATTTTTTGCATCTAATCAACTGCAGAGGAGGCAAATCTGCTTCCTGTTGACACCAGCTCATGCACGCCCGGTGTACATGAATGCTCAGGACAGAGATCTTTATCGTTTCATTAAAATGAAAAGGTAGTGGACGTAGTCTGAAACTGAAATCATTGGTCACTCTTTATTTTCATCCATTTCTTCACCAAACTTCCCTGAACCACTTACAATGCTCAGCTTTTGACCGGGTCCTCCACAAGATCTCACACTGATCTAGATTTCTTTACTCCGGTTCTCCATCAAATTCACAACTCAACTTCAGATCCTTGTGATAACTTACAGAGCTCATTTTTACTCTTCTTTAATTTGCATTTTATTTCTGCGACCTTTATTCTTTGTGACGTTAAACTCTGTAAATAAACTCACAGTTCAACTCACTTCGCTTGAATCATCTCATCCTCGATTTGGAGACTCCACTTTTATGACCATTACAAATTAGCTGTGAGAGTTTGAAAGTTTATGGGCATGTGGAGTCTATCAAGCTATCAATTAAAAAAGAAAAAAGAAAAAATGAACCAGAGACATTGTGTTTTTTATTCCACCTATTCTTTTTCCTGAGCCTACATTACTCACAGTGTAACGCTCCAGCCAACAGTGTGGTAACTCCACACCCCCAGATTCATTTTTATATATATACTCACTGTCAGTTCCACCTCACACAGTTTTAAGACTTTTTTTTAATCCTACACAGTTTATCAGATTTTGTACAACTCCCTCTGGAGCCACAAAGGCTTTTATACAACTTCTCCCACATGCGCAGTACGTGACCCGAGACCTGTAAACACACTGTGATGTGTAAGATTGACGGAGTATCTTCTAATGTTGGGCTGAGCTTATGTATTTTTGTAATTTGACCAATATTAGGAACTAAAATTCAGGATATTTCAACCTCCTTATATATAAAACCAAGTCCAGTACTAAACAGCTGGAGCTCTGCTTTAAAAGTGTTGATTGACGCTGCCCACCCGCCCGTGCGTCGCCTTGTCTACTTCTAAGTTGACTGTCGTTTCCTGTTTCAGCAGCAGCATGTGAACAGGTAAGAGCTTGTCACTTCAGGTAAGGATCTCGTGTACAGGTGGAGGGAATGATGATGAAAGTTTTTCCAGACGGCTGCTTTGCATTCCAGCGCGCTGAGGCAACGTGTTGACAGACACGTCGGCCTCTCTGCCTCCTCTGTAATACATTCATCCTTCTTTATTATCGTTGAAAAACAGAAAGAAACTGCTGATATTTGATTCCGAGACACTGACATCATGTTTACAAGTGATGCTTTTAAATGGCTGAAGACGTTTTCTGCCGTCAAACTCAATTCAAACTGTAATCCGAGAGGTTATCGGAGGTCAGACTGGCTCTGTTTAGTCTGCAGAACAAAGCAAATGCGAAGAAGCTCTCCAGTGTGTTTGTCCGGAACAATTTGAAGACCTCTCTCATTGAAGTTATTAATCTGTTGAGAAGCAATCATCTGTTTCTGAGATATTTATATCTGACTTCAGCTGGCAAAGCTACAAAACAACCGGCCTTTAGAGATGAAACCAGTTAATTGGATTAGTCTGGAGTAGATACCAATATGCGTCTTGCTTTTTGCCCTCGCAACTGCTCTCAATTACTTGTTAAAAAACAACAACAACAACAACAAAAAAGTGTTTATTTGGAGCCGAGGGTTGAATCTATTTTAAAGCAAATCAAGTTAAGAAAAGAAGGGGGGAGGGGCGGCAGCGAAGGTGTATTTCTGCATCAAAAGTTCGTCTACAATCACAGTAATTTGCATTTAACATAACACAGGGATCGTGGAGGAGGTTAATTGTCTTTGCACTTTATTTATTTATTTTTTTTTTGTTTAATTAAACTGATGCATCTCATCATCTGAAGAGTCTAAAGATCATTAAAACAACACAAGATTGTGGAACTGTTATGAAAAGCAACGCCGGAGTTTAACAGGATTATTTGCACCTGCTCTATAGAAGAGATGAGTCGCAGGGACGGACGGATTATTGTGTTAAAAAATCACCACAGTTGTCCCAGTTAAAGATTCACATCTGACCTGCCTGTTTATTTGGGGTTTTTACACCGAGTGCTGTTTTAGCGGCTGACCTGAGCTCACTCCTGATCATGTGACCCGGCTGCCGGTCGGGAAACCACTGGCTTAAATCCAACCTGCTCATGTTTTGTCAGCATGTGGTCCGTAAACCCAAACAAAGCCTTCAGTCGGCAGCGAGAGCTGCAGCACGGGCGGCAACCTGACTGAGGGGAGTTTATTGTGACGGATCCAAACGCACCGGTAACACTGGTGCCTTTGGCTTTTAGTTTGGCTGAACTTTTGTTTTTGTGGGTTTGGATTTAATCTAATTCACAGATGAAATTAATTCAGTTCAGAAACCTGTGGCTGATGACTGTAACAAGGGCTGCATGTTGCTCTGCACTTTGTGGTTTTGCAGCATTGGAAAGAACAGTCACAGACTTTGTAGAGTTGAGTTTCTCCAAATGTATTTCCAATGTCAGGTGTGTACACCTGCGCACAGGAAGTGATGAATACAAATGAATGTTGTGTGTGTACCATGTGACCAAGCACTTATAGAGCAGCTTGAATATGAAGGTTATTGAGCATTTTATGACTAAAGCATGAAACTTTCTCCATGTTTCTATAAACCAGGACTTTTCTTCCTGGAGTAATGAGTGTGGTCCAGACCAAACTAGCATGTTAGCTTCTGAGTGTTCGCTAATGTGCTAGCTAGTCATGTAATTCCATAGAAGACACAGCAGAGGTTTTCAGTGTTTTTAACAAGCTATAGCTCATTAACACCTGGAAATAATAATAATAATAATAATAATAGAACAAACGATTATTATTGAGAAATGGGGCAAAAACTGGAAAAATGCAAGGCTGAGGTCAATGACCTCTCAAGGTCACCAGAGGTCAGATACAAACAAAGATAAAACCTCGGGGCGTGTAGATTATCTGCTGAAACCTTCGTGCTTTAATAAGATGAACAACATTTTGTCACAGTTTTATCATATTTGACTGACTAAACAAACAAGTGATGATTGGTTTCCAAACAGTTTCCTTTTATTTCTCTATTGTAACTGCATGTAAACTGTATTCCCTGTCCAATATTTTTTTGTCTATTTAATTTGACTTTATTTGGTTTATTTTTCTTGTTTTAACAGTTGTTTCTGATGTAACACCACCTTTAAGCTCAGTCTCTTTTCCATTAAGCCAATCTGTCTCCTCCCCCCACCCCCCCGGTCTCCCCTGTCCCTCCACTCACCCTCTCTCCTGCCGTTCCTCAGGCAGCGCACTTTGGGGATCTGAGAGAGCAGCTGGCAGTCCTCAGCTGGAGGAGGAGAGCAGAGGAGATGGGATGTTATGGTGGAAGCAGAACACACACCGAGAAAAACACATCTCCCCTCGCCGCCTCGCCTCACACTCTGTCACTCACACGGACCCACAAACACACCACACTCCCGCTCTTAGCTCGAGTCAGAGCACTCAAACACACATAAACACGGGCACTCGAGCACGTAGTTGTGCACATTACGCACACTCGGGAAAGGCCACTGACACCGCAGCGCAGTATGACCTCAACACATCGCATTCAATCACAACATCCATCACTGCTGCAAATAATCAGAAACACATAAACACAAAAAAAAGTGCACATTTCAGAGTGATTCAAACATAAGAGCTTCATCTCACTGGATAATTCAATTCAGAATCCATTTTCCATAAACAAACCCAGCGAGCAGCTCGGTCCCCTTCATCCGCTGCCTTTTCCTGCATGAGCAATATCTGGCGCAGGCCTTTTGTTGACGGACATCACAATCAGCACACAAACACAGGTAAACACACACACACGCACTTGAGAGGATTAGCATTAGCAGCCGAGAGTGAGTGTGATCTTGCTAAGGGATTGTGGGTAGATCAAGCAGACCCTCAACACCCCCACCCCCACCCCCCGAGCAGCGGTACGGCCATATGTTGACAGGAGCGAGCAGGACAAGTTGTAATCCTGTTTCATTAAATTTGTTGTGTGTACAAACCTGTTTGTTTGCATTTAAGCTGTCGTCTATGTGAGAGCGGGAGTGCTCCTACAGAGGGGACAGCTGGTGTGTGTGTGTGTATGTGTGTGCGTGTGTGTGTGTGTGTATGTGTGTGCGTGTGTGTGGTGAAGTGAAGAAGAGCACAAAGTCAGAGGTCACACCCACTGAGCAGATGTTGTATACTTTTAGCCAGATTGTGTCCGTGTGTGTGTGTGTGTGTGTGTGTGTGTGTGTGTGCGCATATGCATAAGTAAGAGCTTGCATACTTTCTACATTTACATGCGTGCCACTGCATACTGTGCATAATTAGAATATAAAGTACGTTTACAAGACTAAACAGAGGACAATAAAAATACAAGACTACTTACAAAAATTTAAGATTTTGTTGATAGGGTTTTTTTTTTTTCCCATGATGCAATGCTGGAACTATATAAGCTACTTTAAGCTGATGAAAACTGGAAAAGGGATATTCTACGCATGAATTTATCAAATTTAAAAACAGTGGATCCAAAGTTGCAGTTTGGTGGATTTTTTTTTTTTTTTTAAATTTCCTTTTAAATTCAATTAATTTCTTTGACCCTAACTGCCACAATAGCGCACTGTTAACTTTATCTCATAGTGGTTACTGCAGTGTATTCTCGTCCCGACACTATTGGAGTCACATGCTGTCGTCTGGACTTGCTGTAAAGATCACTGTCCTTGATTAAGGATGGTGTCCTTATGATTAAGGCGAGCCTTAACAGGATTACACTCAGGCAGGAGCCTCCCCTCCCCCTGCTGTTGACCAACATCCCCCACCGCCACCTCCACTTCCTCTCGATGTCTGCCTGCCAGGTCACATCTATCGACCAATCAGCTCGACTCTCACCCCTTGGCTGAACTTCACCTGCGCTCTGGACACAGCAGCTCCGTCTTAACTCTCTGTGTCGTATCGCGTTTTATCGTTGTTTCGAGTCATGTGAAAACTATACGATAAGAAAAACAAGCCACTCTGTCTAATCCTCCATGAGTTGTATTGTTGTTGGCCTCATTAACTCTCGGGTATTTCAACATTGTCGTATCTGCAGTGTTAAGAAGTTGAACGTGGGAAACACTGTGCTCTGAGAGAACTGAATAAGGAAGTTAAATGGTTTCAAAACAAACCAACGTCGATGTAACATTAAAAATCTTGTCCAACAGACCATGCTCCGCTGCCGATTCAGTCCATTTTGCCTTCATTTTGGTGGCATTTGAGGTTGTTTACAGTTTCTATATATGGCCGACATCAATCAGTCACATGACCTGAAAAATCACCACAAACAGACATTCGAATATTTGGCTTTAGTTTATGAACTTGTAAATCACACGACTCATTTTAAACTGAATTAAACTAATCTATCTATCTATCTATCTATCTATCTATCTATCTATCTATCTAATTTATGGACTGTATTTTGCAATGTGTTTACGTAATCTCATTGAAGTTGTGTGAACAATCTCCAAGAAATAATCCGTGTTCGTCTAACATCATGTAGTGATTTGGATATTAGAGAACATGCTCGACATCCTGCTTTAAAACGGCAGTTTTATTTTATTTTTCTTAGCGTGGGAGAATGGAGGCTTTTAATAAAACACAGCTTTAGGAAGTGGCATCACGGGGAGACGACAGAGAGGAGCAGGAGGGAACAGGATGGGAGGCCTATTTGAGTCAAAGCCACCGACTGGAACCGAAGTGTGTTTTCACATGATAATTAACACTGAAAATTGAAATTCCGTAACAGAGAGGACGCTAAGAGTGTTGCTCAAGGGCACTTTGGCAGAGACGGGATAATTCAGAGCGTGTTGGTGCAGCAGCTTCGTCGTGGTGCAGGTAGACTGGCAGCAGCAGCAGAGGGAGAATCAACGAGGCATTAGTGAGCTAATAGCCCTCCTGCTGCTGCTGCTGCTGCTGCTGCTGAGACACTGCTGTTTAGATGTCTGGCCAGCTATGACACCTCCGAGTGTGTCTGCATATATATATATATATATGTGTGTGTGTGTGTGCGTGTGCAACAGTGAATGTAGGTCGCTGTGCTGTTCCCGCAGATAGAAGATGCATGTGTTGGTAATTACAGAAAGCGCTGTGGACAGTGAGAAGCATGAGCTCATGTAATTCTCCTGCTGATTGCTGACAAAAGGGGAAGAATTACTAAAAACGTGGTTATCCTGTAGTTTCACAATCCCCGGTCAGTTGAATAAAAACATAACCCTGCTCTTTATGGTGCTATTAAGGCGCTCCTCATTTTATTGATGTCAAGGTTAATTAAACTGCTAATTTGCTTCTACATGAAGAGTGAGCAGATCGTCACGGCGTGAGCAGCTCCACCTCCTTTCTGCCGCGGCCGTGAGCAAACGCTCTCACCTCTGAATCAGTGTCTGATTGTCCGGTCTCTTGACATTATCCTCCGCCTACATTTTCCTCTTACTGGGCCTTTCTCCTCTGCTGGAATATTCTTTTGACATTTGCATCCCACATATTTACAGCAGATGGCAGAGTGATAAGAGCTGGCAACACCTGGCGCCCAGACTTAAAGCCAGGCTTTTAGAAATATTACAGGTAGTGAGCCCAAATTCCTTCAGTGCAGCCACAACCTCAGAGGGAATTTTTTATTATTATTTTAATTATTAATTAATTAATAATTTCCCTGTTTCATTTAATTGTCTGTAAACGTGTCTGTCTTCCTGATGATGCTGCTTCAAAGGCTTCTCCACACACTGCCAGTACTGTAAGTCATTTTTCTTACATTATCCTTTAGGGGATTTTATGCCTTTGTTAAACAGCGACGGTGGAGAGATGAGGCGGTTCACAGACAGCGCTTTCACCGCTAAACCGAAGGGGTGCTCCGGCTAGAGACAAAAACAGTCTCATTTAAACCTGATTTAACTTCTTTTAGCCACACTGGGCGGGAAGAAACGAGCTGGAAACACAAGATTAACATATTGTCCTTTTATCCACTGACACATTATCTGTTTTCCACCTTTTAAGTTGATATGGTGAACACTTTAAAGCTGTTTACACGTCCAGCAACATAATATCGTTCATTTAGTGGCGTTTATGAGGCCAACTGGAGAATTAAAGCCCAAATAGTCACTTTACTTTTAGTTCTGTTTTTGGTCTGAAACATCTGGCTGCTGTTCACCAGCTAGTTGCCAACTTTAAAGCTGCAAATGAAGAGCAGTTAGAGAGAGAGAGCCGGAACAGTAAAGTTCGTAAAGGCCGTAAAAACCAAAACGATGAGCTGAAAGACACTGACACAGTGGGAGGCGTAGGATTATGAGGTGAGCCGCTCCCGATAAAATTAAGTGTCCCACTCCGCCACTGCACCTTTCACATACTAGTAGTCACGTGATCCATTGTTGATATAAAAATATTGATTAAAGCTGCTTTAAAAACTCTCAAACTCCCAGAAACAACCTGTGCTTCGCTTGGCTTTCAGCTTTAACCGGCAGCAAGTAAAAGAGAAACTCACGGTCAGAGCTGAAGTCGTCTATCAGGATGATTTCTTGAATCAGAGATGGAGGACTTCTCATCAGGACGCTGAGGGAGGGAGGAGGAGAGAGATGGAGACCAGAGAGCAGGAACATGAGTCAGTGTTATTGCTGCCGTCTAATCAGACCGTTTATGTTCGACCTCATTACCTTTTGATGGTGCGAAGGAGAGTGGAGCGAGCCTCGTTGTGGAAAGTGATAATGATACTGGTGGAGGGGAGGTCGGCGTCATAATTCACAGAGGCGCATCTGCAGAGGGGACGAATATAACACAGAGTGTGAGCGGGTTTAACTTCCCTCTCTTCAGAAATCACGTGTGTGTGTTACATTTTTCAGTCGTCTCGCACACAGAAACATCCAGACACACACACACACACACACACACACACACACACACACACACACACACACACACACACACACACACACACACAGGGCAGGGTTCTGGGCAGCTGTGATTAGCGGCCGTACCCTCTGGAGTCGCCTCAGCATTGTCGCTGTAGTGACATGGAAATAGCTGGTTGCCTGGCAACGGTTGCCGAGATTTCTGACCCTCTGCTTTAATCTGCTACCTGTTGCTGGGAGCTCTGAGCCCGGGTCAGAAAGCATGAGGATGAAATATCGCACATCACTGACTCTGTTGTTGTGCAGCAATTAATTCACTGTTTGTTTACTGCAGCAAAACAACAAGAAATAAAATGATTGGCTAGAAAAGAAGGTAAGTTAAAGTTTATTGTTGTGTTTCATTTCTTTTTCTCTCATTTGAGTTTCCATGTGAGTTGATGACTTTGTTGTATAAACTCATATGAACTGGTCTCAGTACTAAACACAGCTACTGTATAATTGTCTTTTAACTGCTTCCAGCTGCTTTAATGGAGTTTGTACCTTGTTGTTTGTCTGTTATGTCGTTCTGTTTATGACTCACTCTGTTCCTGTAATTTTATTTCTCTGTGGAACTGTTTCCAGGACGTTGTTGAGTAACAGCCAACCTGCCACCCAAAAATACAGGTTCAGAAAACACTAGATCTGCATCTGATCACAATTTTCATTATCGATGAATCTGTTATCTGTTTCCCAAAGAACAAGACGGCGCCTTCAGAAGTTTTCAAAGTCACGAAGAAGCAAAGTGGAGGTTTCCGGCACAACCACATACTTTTGAGGTAAATGGAGTCTGAATGGGTCACTGTAATACACACTGTAATAATAGTGTTTTTGTGATGAACCTGATGAAGGACACAAGCTGAAATGCTTCAGTCTAACACTACAGTCCAATAATATCTGGTGTGGTGTAACAAAGAAAAGCATCAAATCTTCATATCTGAGAAGCTGGAAACAGCTAAATGTTTGCTTAAAAAATGACAAAATCGATTATGCAGTTAGAAAAACTGTAATATATTATAAAAGTTGACGATTTAATTTCATGAAATGCATAAAGATGCCGCAAAAATCACATGCAGGTACGTCATATAAGTTATAAGTCTGTGTCTTTATTCAAATTGCTCATAAACAGACCTCAAATCTTTTAAAAGTTCTCTTTTATTCTATGTTTTTTTTTCCAGGTGCTGATCATCATCTCATCATCCTCTGTCTGAGAAACCGGTTTCCAGTTCTTCAAAATAAGCCTCTTGGTATCAAACTAAGTGTTTATATTGTGTCTGCGTGGAAGGGATTGGATCCAGGATGCACAGGTCTGTATGAGACAGAGTTTCCTAAACCACTATAAATCCACGTGCAGCCTGAGCTTCAGATTAGTCCCTGATCCACTTGTGCAGATCAAAGCAGAGAGACAGCACCTGGGCCGCGGCTGTCACCCCGCTCACCTGTAGTGTCGGGTGTCTCTGATGGCTCGCTCGCTGCCCAGCCGGTCGCTCTCCTGCAGGTTGAAGGCGTGCTCTCTGTACGGGTCGTCCCCCGGCTTCAGCTGTTTCCCCGCCAGGTAGGCCTTCTCATCGAAGCCGCCCAGCAGCTGGCCCTGCTGCTCGGGCCGCGGGGGCTGGGTCACCTGCGGAGGACACGGCGAGGGTGTGTTTACAGTCTCGCATCAGCCAGAAAAACAGGGGCGATATCAACAGGTGAGACTCGACGGCGATGACGACGTAGAGTAAACGGTAAAAAATTGAAATCAAAGGAAGAATAAATGATGAATGTTGTGACATACAAACACAAATCGTCTCTCACACACATCAGCACGAGTTGGTTTTCGGTGTCAACATTCTGTCTCTCGCCGCCATCACTTCTGTCAACAAGCTCTTCCTCTGACACCTCCATTATTACCGCGGACGGGCTCAGTGCAGCATCCTCGTATCTGAGCTGTGTGTGTTAATAATAAGCTGCTCAGGAGGAGAGGCGGCGCATCACTTTTTAAATCCCGCTGTTGGTTTTGAATGAATTTCACAAGCCTTCAGGTCACAGATCTTTTATAAAAGACCGACTGAACCTTCGACTGAAGTGGAAACACAAATAAAACACAAACACTATTCTATTATTTCCAAACTGATTCACCACTCGCTGCAAAGACTAGACTGGACTCTATGTTCAGTTTTCACCTTGGAGAGAGAAGCTGATGGGAACACTACACCACCAGGTCCATGGAGTAGCTACTCTGGAGCTTTTGATCATATCACATGATCTTCCTCTGCAGATTGTAGACCTTCAAATTTCCATTTTTCAGAAAACTTTAAGGCTTATGCTGTATATTTTACAAAAGATCATTTTCATAATTGACTAATCACATAATTAAATGTTAGATTCATACAACGTCAGAAAAAGCTTCTGAAAACCGAAGGTGACGTCTTCAAATCGCTTCTTGTCTTGTTTGACTAAAAACCCTAAAACCTGGAGATATTCAGCTGCAGACCAGGAGATGTGGTTGAAAGCCCTTAAAAAAGTTAGTAAAGGGTTTTTATTTTTTCAAACCACAAGAGCTGAAACTATTAATTGAAGCGTTCACTTACTGCAGCTTCATCAAACTGGATATTTTCCTGCTTTTCTTTGTTTCAACATGAATATCGTCGAGTTTTGGGACCAAACACACAGAGTGAAGATTTGTTCTTTGACTCTCGCTATTCTGTGACATTTTATAAACTAAACAATTCATCAACTGATCAAAAAATAATAATTTAAAGAATAATCAATGATGAAAATAATCGTAAGCTTCTGTTTTCAGGGGCAACAATGAGCTTTCAAAGATATTCAAATTTACAATGATAGAAGACGTGAGAAGCGAAACAGCTTTGGGAGCGTGTGCAGATATGTTATACAATTCACAGATTATCAGAATTGTGGCTTATTATTTTAATTGAGCCTCGGCGGGCCACATCAACCAGTCAGCTGTTTCACCCATGTGCAACGCCTCCTCTGCTAATTTAGCCTTCAATCGCACGAACCTTTAAAGCAGTCTGAAGAAAAACGTATCAGCCAAATGATTCAAATTTAAATGCTATTTTATTATTCAGGTCACTGTGTCAGTGCTAACAGAACAAAATGGGATGGAAACTCATCAAATCAGAATACACAGTCGATAAATCCTCAGTAATTAATGAATTTTCCCCTGCAAGGAGGTTTAACACTCGCTGGCAGCCTGGGATGGGTGAGCGGGAGGTTAAAACAGCTGATGAATACATAGAGGCACGAGAGAAGCCCTCATCAAAGAGGAACAACGGCAAGATGGACAGATGGAAGAAGAAAAAGAAAAGGAAAGGCAGAGGCTCTGTTCTGTGCTGCATTATTAAAAGCCGGTGTAGATGGAGGATTAAGAAGAGCAGGTTCAGGTGAGTGTGATCTCATTTTCAGCCTCTCCAGGGGAGAAGCGCCCCCCCCCCCCCGAAAGTTTCAAAGATTCACACACAAACACGTCTGCAGCGCTTGGCTCACAGAGAGAGAGAGAGAGAGAGCGATCTAATATCACTGTTCACGTCACAGACTTAAAGCTCTACTAAAACCCAGAACCAAACAGCAGACGGACACAGTTAGAGGCTGACTGGTGAACACAGTGGAGAATTTAAATGGTGGAGACCCAAAACAGAGCTAAAAGTACCCAGAATATTAGACTATTAGACTAAAATACCTGTTAGACTGTCTGCTGACATGTTAGTGATATCATCTTAAAAATGTGTTAATATGTCCATGTTGTGTTTTTTGAACGTGTGAATGCATATTAACATATTACCACCTTATAATATGATATAATGAAGTTTTTAAACAGGTGCTTATTTACACATCCAGCAGTCAATCTCACTCACTCTGTCACTCACAATAGAGAGCTCATTGGCAAAATGAACAAACACTTTCGGACACACTCTCTTCCAGCACGAGCACAATGCATGATGGTATATACAGTATATTGCTTGGTTAGTGACCATTGGTTGTACACAACTTTTCACAGTCTATCATTAACACTGATTCACTACACGCTACGAAGCCTCGACTAGACTACTGCTGAGATTCAAAGTTCAGTTTTCACCTTGGAAAGAGAAGCTGACGGAAGATTACACTACCGGGTCCATGCAGTAGCTGTTCTGGAGCTTTTGATCATATCACATGATCTTCCTCAGCAGATGGAGTTTGCCCTGTCATGGAATTACAGACATTCAAATTTCCATTCTGGGAACTTTAAGGACTTCTTGTCTATGTTGACTTCAAAGTTGAGATTGAGGCTTTATGCTGTATATTTTGCAAAAGATTATTTTCATAATTTATTAATCACTTGATTATTATTATTTTCTAGGTTCAATGTTAGCTCTGTAAAAAGTCGGAAAATAGTTAGGGGTGGTTTTCTCTGCACCGTTTTCTTTCTTTCAGCACGAGCCCAATGCATGATGGTACATGCATATACTGCTTGGTTAGTGACACTACTTTTCACGGTGCATTGTGGGATACTATGAATCCACGAATCTAAAGGTATAATAATTCTCACTATACACACCCTGTCTTTCATCTTTGTGTCCACCAGATGAATGTAAGCTCTCTAATACTTCGTCTCTTTTAGCTCTGGCTTTGGTCTCCACCAACTCCTGAGGGAAATATGTGGCTCTTTAGCTGCTACACGCTCCATTAAGTTCACCTCACTGTGTCTGTAGCCTGGTGCTGGGAGCAGGAAGTGTTCAGCTGGGGTTTTTTAATATATATATATATTTTTTTAGAGCTTCTACACAATGAGAATCAGTGAGAGTGAACCTGAATAGTGAAGGTGTGGTCGGGACAAATAAACAATGAGCTGAAACTCATTATAACCTCTGTAGAGCTGATGAGAGCTGCAGATTCAGGAGATAATTCACTGTCAATTCATCACTATGTCACTTGATACTGTGTTATTATAAAAAATAGTGACTACAGCCGCTTTAAGAGGGCAAAACAGCAGTTAATGCAGGTTTGAATCGTCTAACCCCCGCCTGTCTCACCGCTAGCGGCTAAATTAGCTCCTGCACTTTAGCCAAAAGCTCTTCACACACACATTTCGGGCTGATTTACACAAACTAACACACTTTGTTTGAACAGATCATCCTACCGTGGAGGCGACAACCGGATAATTTACCACAGATCACAGAAAAACCGCTGTAGGTTGGCAAAAGTAAAGCAAACGTATGCTAATATAGACGGTATAAACCAGCTAGCTTAACAACGGCATAGCTACAGGCTACCCATAATTCAACACCAACCTGTACAGGCTGGTATTTCTATAGTTTTTTATTTTTATTAATTAATCTATTTATTTAATACAATATATATAATTTATTATTATGTTATTTTATATACGTTTTTTATTATTTTATTTTATTCAGTGAATGAATTGTTAAAGTAAATCCATTTACTCAAGCACTGTGCTATTACTTTTACTCCATGACATTTATTTGATAACTTCAGTTACTTTGCAGATTCAGATCAATAATACAAAATATGATCAACAAATAATGCATGATGTAGTATTTTGGATTAGGACTATACTTTATTGATCCCTGGGGGGAATCGATAAGGGAAGCTACCCAGCAGAATATGACGTAATTAAAGTTAGCTCCACCTTAACAGCTGCAATATCAAAGTGATGTAAGAATCAATATAATCCAATAACACGCTGTAGATTATTTTGAAATGGGCCATTCTAAATAAAGAGTATTTTTACTTTTGGTATTTTAAGTATATAAATCAATGCTTATAGGTACTTGTGTCTGAGTATTTCTACACTGCAAAAGATCAGAGTTCTTCCTCTTTCTTTACATTTGTCTCTCTCCTGAAATTCTTCTGTATTTGATGATATTATATTTAACGTGCACCTGTCGAGCATCTTATAACTCTCACTTACACCCTGTGCCAACGGGCTTATAGCAGCAGCTGCTGCTCGTTCTGGCACTTTTACTACTTACACTTTATATCCGGGTGTTTCATGCTGCATCGTAAAACGCTTTTTTTTTTATCTTGTTACATATGAAGTTGTATTATCAGTATTTCTTTAACTGGATTTACTTAACTTCATTTAGTTTTATTTAAAATAAAAATCAAACAGTTCCAGTAAAGTTACTGCTAGTGCATTAATCATACTGTTCTCTACCTCATCCAATATGTACATACATTTAAATATAAGGTTTATTATCACTGTCTGACATGTGGGCTCATTTATGCTGACGAACATATGAGCAGCAGTATAAGATCTGGGCACAAATGAGTACATCTTCATGGCATCATTATATGTGACTGTAAGTGTGTGCAGGCTGCACGGTGACATCTGCAGCCGGATGTCAGTGGAGTGCATGTGAAGTTATCTAACCATGTTGACCTCAGTGTACGGTTCAGTCAATCAAATCATCTGTGAAATGACCAACATGTTTGACTTCACTCTGCTACTTCAGGAGCATCTTTAACGACAAAAAATAAGAAATACAATTTTCTATCTTCTTTACATCTAATTACTTGTTGCGAATTATGTAGAGTCATGTCTAACAACACGGCTCCTCCGCAAGCAAAACATAGACAACTCATCTCATTTCACAAGCTGTTATCAGTGTATAAATTAAATATCCATCACAGCACAACCCCATTAGATTCATACAGCTTCACACGTATTTATTTGTATGATCTGATGGACAAGCCGGTGCACAGGAATTCAGGACCTGGGAAAGGACACAAGCAGGGAAACGTCTATATTTATCACTAGTCATTCGAGCAGTTTCATCTTTTCTGACAGGAAGTGGGTGCAAGAAGATGACAGAGTCAGGCCAGGACAACAAATGGAGGAAGAGTGGAACAAGTGGTTGAAGAGTATATTTAACATTTTTAGTTGTTATGTGATTAGTTTACGCTCATCTGGCTTCATACGATTAAAAGGTTAATTCTTCAACTGTATCCTACATTTCATCTGAGCCAGTTTCACCAGCAGTATTAGATAGAAAAGGTGTTTTACTCTTTATAGTCCAGACCTCCTTCCAAAACCTTACATCCTTTGGTAATCCAAAAGTATCATGATGATTAAACACAAAAAATGATACTCGGAGGATAGTAAGACAGAAATAACAGGAGGCACTTTGTGGCTCGGTCCACTGAATTAAATATGAATCTCGTCTGGGAGACGAACACGTGTCCGCTGCCTCTTTTCAAGCCCAGTTTAAAAAGACTCAACAAATCACTTAAAAGTCAAATCTGCCTGATTGGCTGGAGATGAAGCGGCGCCGCGGCTCTGAGTCTGTGATGACAGACGACCAAGTCCCACCGAGGACACACATCATATCAGATCGTGTAGTGGTGATGTTGCGGGTTTGAGTCCTAGTTATGATCTGTTTACATGTCATCCAGCCCAGAAGAGACATTAAGACAGTTTTCTGCCAAAGCTGTTACACTTCGGATCATTTCACATTCTGTATTTTCTCTTCTTTCTCGTTTGAGCCGGGTCCAGATTAGATGGAAAAATGTGGTGTCATGAATTTCTCTGGGCCGAGCAGGAAGCAGGATTCAAACACGATTTAACATGGGGTCGTTTGCTTGTGTGATCATGCCGCTGTCGATCAAATACAACGCCCACACAGAGCTGTAGAAACACATTAGCTGAAGTTAAACTCTTAAAAATAAATAATTCATTAATGGATGTGTTTTTATGAACTTTAACTTGGATTGTTTCACAGTTCCTAATGATGCATGTTAATGTTAGAAATTCATGTTTTCAGGGTTTTTACATGACAAAAAGTGATGATGTGTGCAGCTAATAAAAGTCCCCAAACGGTTTCGGCACCAGTGACTTTGTTCTCTTACAATGTCGTCCAAGTTTTGTGTGCATTACTCTAGTGGAAAATGTAGCTAATCTGAGCTCAAACAAGACTGTTGAGAGCTCATTTAACCCAATTCTCTCATGAACTGTTTATATGGTCACATGCTTCATCCACGTTGCCAGGTTAGTGAGAGAAAAAAGAGTCTAAAAGTCTGGGCGCCCAACCCAGCGGCCTGAGCTGAGCACTGACAGCTACTCAATGTCAAATAATAGATTAAAAATATTACAAGCTTCTCCTAATCTTTTGGTCTCATCTGTGCTTTAGAAAACACATGGGAGCCGTGACATCGCATGAAAGCCGAGGATAAAGACGAACTGACAAAGTGATTGGCTGGACGTGGCTCTGCGGTCCACATGTCCACTGCTGATGTCAGGCCACGGCGGCAGATGTGCAGGTCAAAGAGAGAGAGAGAGAGAGAGAGAGAGAGAGAGAGAGAGAGAGACCGCTGATTACCGCTGATGTGAAGGTTCAAATAGAATTAGACAGAGAGCGGCGTTCACACACTGTCGCTGTGGGAAGAGACGGAAGAGTGCTGCTGGGAAATGAGACCACTCAGCAGAGGAAATGAAGGAGGGGAAGAAAAAAAAAGTCGGTGGAGTCGGTGCAAACACATTTCACAGATGATGTCATCAGTGAATCAAATGCTGCTAATGAACGGACTTATGGGGGAAAGAAAGAGGGGGGTGGATATGAGGAAAGGAATGAAGGAAGGAGGAGAAGTTAAGAAAGGAAAGGAGAGGAAGAAATGATTCATGGTGTTAGTGAGTAAAACTTAAAATCAAGAGCTTTTACAGCTTAAAAACTTAAGTTTGTTACATGTACTTGTTCAATGTATTTTAAGAAGTTGGTCAAAATGAAAACGTAGAAAAACTTAAGCCTTAACTTAAATATATATCGATAGTGCAACAACATTTTCCCCTTCACTTAACAATAGAGAGGTATTAAGTTAGTACAACTTGTGGCGTATCTAATAAATGAAGTAATTTGGTCACTTAATGTCAGCAAAACTTTTTAATTAAAATTAAGTTGGTTCACCTTAATTAAGCTTTTAGATGACAAAGCATCACTAAAGTAATTGAGCTGGTCTAACTATAAAAGTCTTTTGGGATTTACTCGATAATGGCTAAATTGTTTTTTTTTAAGTTGAGCCAACGTATTTTTTTAAGAGAGTAGAATAAAATAAAGAAGAAGATGGAAGGAAGAGGACAGAAGAAACGACAAAAAGAGGGAGAATATGAGGAGAGGAATGAAGAAAGGAGGAGAAGTTAAGAGAGAAAGGAAAGGAGAGGAATGAAGGAAGGAGGAGGTAAGGACAGAAGAAACGACAAAAAGAGAGAGGGAGAGAAATTTCTCTCTGCAGCAGCCTGGAGTGGTTGAACTGTTGGACCCTGTCGTGTGGAGCTGGCAGCCTCCGAGCTCCGGGTCACATTACCTGAACAAACTACAGCGAGGAAATCTCAGTTTGGTGACAAAGGTCAACGACCTCGCTGAGCAAATCCAAGATTACATCAGAAAAGAAAAAAAAAGATCATATTCAAAGTGTACAGTTCAAAGACTGATCTGATTAGAGGTGATGTTTGTTGCAGTTTCCGGCAACTTCCCTGCAGAGATGAAACACCCCCTTTTTTCTTTTCTTTCTTCCCCCACCACAATCGGATTATTCAGAGTGGTTCCATATTTGTTTGCACGCATCTTCCCGAAACGTCACCACACTCTTGGCCGGCGTTCACACACTGATGCAAAAACCACGGTTTCAGCTTAAGTAGCAGGAATGCCACAACAGCTCCACCGTTTGGCATTTGCCCTTGAATTATTTAATCCTGTGAACAGCGTTTTAATGATTCTTTCTCCTGCCGGGGGGGTGAAACATCCCAACATGTTGGCGCACGTCCTCGGCCACAGCTGAGACTTTTTCATTGGTCTAGTAAATTGTGAAAAAAGGCTCCAGTGAGCTGCATTTCCTCAACAGTCCTCGTCTCCTAGAAATACAGTTGGATATACATGTTTAATTGATTTGCCTGGCAGCTCGGTTGTGGAGCGGTCGTATAGCTGTAAGCAGCTGCAGAGGGAAAACAAAGAACCAGATTGCCCCCCCCCCCCATGAAAATCTTATATTGTCATAGAAATTTAACGAGATTTACCTTCACGTTTACCGTCACAGACTTTTATCAGGATGAAAAGTTGTGCACACTGGATTCAAATAATCAAATTAGTGGCATTTACTCTAGAGCTGTGATGATTAGCTGATTAGTTGATTGATGGAATCATTTTTTTATCATTTCTCAAGGTTTCAGCTTCTTAAATATGAGGTTTCGATGGTCATACATTACAGACCAACCAACGCTCTAATAAAATAAACATGTGAATGTGTCGCCTTGAGCTGTAAGAAGCATTTTTCACTATTTTCTGTCATTTTATACTTTAAACGATTAATCGGTTAATCAAGACAGTAATCAGACCAATCGATCAATCGATAATGAAAATAACCATCATAACCATTTAATAGTTGATCATTTAGTCAAGAAAATGTCCAACCACCCAAAGATATTCAGTTTTCAATGATGTAAAGCAGCAGAGAAGCAGAATATTCTCATATTTAAGAAGCTTGAACCAGTAAATATTTAATATTGTGATGTGTTTCTCTTTAAAACGCAACAAAACCCACTTTTTCATTTGAATTTCACACAGATTTAAAGGTTGCAAAAGGTCGCAACAACCACTGATTATTTGTTTTTGTCAATGGACTGATCTATTCTGCCTCCAGCAGCGCAGTCCTCTCCACTCTCAGACTCCAAGCTCAAGCTACAGGTCTCAGTGTCTCTTCACACTTCATGCAGCAGAAACCCCTGAAGCCAAGTAGAGCAGATCTGCTCATCTGAGCTGGCGTGGACCCAGAAACAGTCCCAGCATTCTCTCTGTTCGGGCCGTGCGGAGAGGTTGCTGCCAAGCCGAGCCTGACGACCACCACACCTACACTCCCAGCGTGCACCACAGCTCGTTCTCACCGCTCTCCTGGCGCAGGCGACGCCAGGCGGATTCAGACCTGACCCGACTGAAACAGGCCTGTAATGACAGACTGTGGGGGCAGAGGAGGGCAGAGGAGGGCAGAGGAGGGATGCCTCTTCTTGCTCCGAAAGCCCGTGTTTTTCACTTCACATGTGCAATCAAAGGAAGGTCTCAGTATAATGTGGTTTACAAGGCGTTTGCGCACGACGCGCAGGACTTATGGAAAGCCTCTTACGGGTGCTTGAGGTTCCTCTCCGGCTCGGGGGGTGGGGGTGGGGGACACGGAAAGGCAGGAAAACACCAACAGACAGAGGTGTAAGCGGGCTGCTGATACCACAGCCTGGAGATGACTGGTGTGGCCGCACAGGAGGAGGTGGAGGACGGTGGTGGTGGAGGCGATGGTACGTGTCCGTCAAAAGCAGCGCGTTCCTGCCGTGACACCCAGCTGTGCACCACCACCACCACCACCACTCCAACTCCATCATCCCAGGTTTAACACACACACACACACACACACACATGCACATCAACATGCAGCACACACTCTCCTGCAGCTCGGCGCCTTCAGCGACAGCGCCGTGCGCAGCGTCCCCCCCGAGAAGGGGTAATCTTAGTTCTGTATGCCCCCCCTCCCTTTCTCTTTATCCCCCAGCAGCCGCGCTCACTCACTATCAGCGGGATGGTCCTGTCGTCCCGGTGGATCTCCAGCCGACCGGGGACCACCTTCTGCCCATGGCTCCTGCCGCGGGTCTGCGACGCCGACGACGACGGCGACGACGGCGGCTTGTTGTCCTGCCACAGGTAATAAAACGTCCCCAGGATCCACGCGACGGTCAGAATCGCGATGGCGTTGGCCCGTATCCTGCGCATGGTGAGCCCATACGGAGGGCTCCGGAGGCGAGCCCGGCTGGTTCAGGTCCGTCCGCGGCGGAAGGTGCAGCCTCCCCGCCGGTGATGGGTTGAATCGCAGCGCAGACAGACAACCTCTATCTCCCCGCGAACAGGCTCCTCTGCCGGAGCGCTGCCTCTCTGCTGGGATTTGCGCACTTACAGAGCCAAGGTCCTAGCGCCGAGTCATATCACCCACACACACACACACACACACACTCACACACACACACACACACACACTCTCACACACCCATCATCCATCTACTGGCTACAGAGCGGAGAGGATGTCCAATCTGCATCCAGCAGCTGAGACCGTGTTTGTTTCACGTCTCCACTTTCTCCACCTCTGATCCACATGATCCTCTGTTCTCACTCCCGCTGCGTGTCAAAGAATCCCGCGTTAACAACATGTCTTTATATCTTTCCCCTTTAAAACACAAAGACCTTCCCCTGGTTTAAACCGCCTTGTGTAATAAGTAGGAATAAGGAAAGTAACTAAGTACATTTACTCAAGTACTTAAGCACCAACTTGTATATTTTCCTTCCCCTGGCTGATCTGAGCTTTAGTTGCTTATGAGATGAAGGTTTTGATGGATGTTGCAGGAGAACAAGCTGCAGAAACACAACACATTGGTGAAGATTAAACCAGTGGTTTTTCCAGCTCTTACAAAAACCAGTGTGTGTGGTCGTGGTCACATTTCAGATGTACGGAAGAGGATTAGGGCCACACGTGACTCTATTCTTCAAATAGAATTTAATATTTAGTATGTAAGTATTTTAAGTTTGTTTTTACTTTTACTTCAGTAAGTATCTTAGTGCATCTTCTGTCTTATGGTTTATGGGGGAATATGGCTGCAATTAATGAATATATTTGTTTTTGATTAATCGAATCGTTTCCTTGATTAAAGTCTAGGAAGTTGCCTTCCTGTCAGCTGACAACAGAAACCTGAGACATGTTTGTATCTGAGCAGGATTTCTGCCTCCACCTTCGTACAACGGATGTGAACAGAATTTGATTTGTGGAGCCCTGAAGCGTTGGCAAATGACAATTAAAATATTCCAGAGCAGCATCTCTCTCCAGAAACAATATCACACATTAGAATGAGCCACAGGCCTCACTGTCAACACGCTCTGTGGAAAGTCGTTTCGCTGAAAATCCAAATTAAAACTTGAGCAAATGAAACTAAAACAATGTGTGAGGCTGCATAGATGAGAAAATATGTTAATTTGACGGAACTGACCCTTTAATTTCCTCCATACTGCCCCCCCCACACCCCCCCACACCCATCAGCCAGAGTCCAAATGAAATCTGCACATTTACTGCAACATATTTATTCAAAGTGTATAAGAAGACTCATTATTCTGCCTATGCATTTTAAATTATGCATTTAAATCAAGAGCCTCCAGCTCACTCGGAGGAAATTAAGCGATGCAGCTGAATTGATCATGAAGAAGAAAGATGCCTTTGCAGTCTTTGAACCAGCTCCATGAATATTCAACTCCTCCTGAGTTAATTCTGGATTTGCTTAGATGACCTCTGCAACTATGACTTATTCAGTGTAGGAATAAATCCGAGGAGTTAAAAAAATAAAATAAAAGTCTGAATACATTAGACTGAGAGGACCCCTCTCCAGAAATCCATAACAGCCTTTAAACGGCTGCACAGACCTGCAAAGAAATCAGAGCAGAGCAATAACACCCCCGAGGCATAACAGAGCTGAGGAGGCTGAAAATTTTCATCTTATTCCTTCTCTCCTAGAAGAAACATAAAAACAGTCCACAGTATGAGCTCATCCAACCCCACCTAACAGCAGTGAGAGTGTATACTGTGAGTGTGTGAGGCGTCCACACAGCTGGGCCCACCACCACCACCACCACCACCACCACCACAACAACAACATCAGGGATTAGGAGCGCCAAGTTTTCCCTCATCAGAAACATAAGCATAAAGAAACCTGATCCAGAGACAGCAGGGGAGAGGCAACGCCGAGTACGGTGAAATCAATAGCTGCAGGAAAAATCCATCCGCAGCTGCACGCTGTTGTATCATTAATCTGTGATGCATTCAAGCAATTACTTTGTGATGAAACATTGGAACTTTAATTGGTTGCTATACCAACGTTCTGTTTTAAAGCGCCTCAGTGAAGAGTAGCACTTAGCACAGCCTCCTTTACAAAGGGTTTATATTAGTGGCTTTATTAATAGTGAAGAGGTCGTTTACTACAACTCTATACATCAGTTATAAGATATTAATAAGTTTTAGTTTGTCCGGTCGTAAAAAAACAAACAAATCACCTCCTCGTGGTCGTATCCCTCCGCCACAGTTTCAGGTCACGTCCCTGTTCATCCAGAGTCATAAAAAATATCAACCATTTCTGTGTGTCAAAATTACTGTGAAGTCTTGAGTGAGTCACAGTGACCTTGACCTTTGACCTTTGATCTGTCGCCACCTTAAATCTCTTCAGTTTGTCCTCGAGTCCAGGTGAACGTTTTTTTACCAAATTTGAAGAAAAATTCCTTCGAGGCGTTACAGAGATATTGCATTCACAAGGCCAAAACTGCATTTTCTGGGGTCTCAGTGACCTTTGACCTTTTAACCTTGGACCACCAAAATCTAATCAGTTGATCCTCGAGTCCTAGTGAACGTTTGTGCCAAATTTGAAGAAGTTCCGTCGAAGTGTTACTGAGATATCGTGTCCACGAGAGTGTGACAACACAAAAACAATATGGCTGCTGCTCTGACTGTCGCCGCGGCGACGGCACAGGAATAAAAAAAAAAGAGATTCGACCGTTTATCATCTGGAAAAGTGCTGCAGAGAATCTGGCCCAAACTCCATTTAATAAACACATGATTAAGCATTTATTAATGGTCTGCCAACATGTGTAACTGCTTATGATTAAACGGAAAGGACAAACAGCAAGAGAGGACAGTTTGCACAACCTGGCAACCCAGCATCGGTTCTTATTAATGTTTGATCTGTAAAGTTTTCAGATATTATCAGCTGCTCAACGGTAAAGTTTGAGACCTGCATCCAGTAACACGACGTCTTGTATTGCCACAATGCATCCTGGTCTATTAAGGCCGCTGTCAGTGTTGAAGTGGCTCTCTGATCGGTTTCTTCTTGTATTATGATCAAACGTCAGTGCAAAAGGTTGAGTCTAGAAAGCAAGTTAAAAGGAACAAATTTAGCCCAAAGAAAACAAGACAAACAAAGAGAGTGTGTGCAGAACTTTGCAGTAAGTTCTAGTAAAAGTAATAAAATTGTGGCTTCAGGGTCGTTGGATGTGAGTTAACACCAGGCCTGAGAATGCAGAACAAAGTATGAAAATCAACTTTGTCGAAGGATAATAGGATAAAAATACATCCTCAGTTATATGTTGTGACATGTGTGAACACCTCATTAGATTTACTGCTGATGTTTTACGGTAGATTACCGAGAATCACTTTTATATCAAACTCCCCGGCTGCCGATGCGACGTCCTGGTGCTTATATTTCACCGGTTATCTTCAGGAGTAAGAATCACGTCACAGCCAGAAACAAAACAGACCCAGACATGAAAATGGCGCGTGAGCAAGTACGATGTTAAAAAATCTCCCAGGTTAGATTTTTATATCTGACAAATCGTTTGCATGTAAAGAGCGGCTTTTCCCCTTCATTTAATTTAATTACCACAATGTAAGTGTATGTAAAAATCAAATAGTCTTAACGAGCCGCAGGGCAGAGATCTCTCCGCTGTGTCTGCTGTCTCTCTGAAGCTTTGCACTTGGAGGTTAATCTCATTATACATGTAAGCCGTCTATTCCCTCTCCTCCACCCCGTCACGGAGAGAGCCGTCAGCCAACGTGATCTGCCCCGCATCCAGCCCGTGTACACAGAGATGGGAAGGTCACAGGGGTCACGGCCACATCTGGCTCAAGGCTGGGAGATATTTGTCTTCATTGGTAGGGACAGGGCTGCGCCTCTCTCGCTGACGCTGTCACTGTTATCTGCGGGAGAGACAGTGATGCCCCCAAAAGCCGGGAGGGAGAAGTCTCTACATAATCAGACGGGGGGGAGGGTGAAAGCCCGCTGCAGTCACAGGGAGGGTGTTGGTACTGGCAGCTTTGTTGGGAACGCTCCCCTCCTCTGAAGTCCCTTCAAATCTCAGGACCTGGCAACCCAGCCCTGAACTGACCTCGCTAATGTCAAGATTAGTGGGTGCAGAGAGGAAACGATGGCTCAGGCCGCCGCTCGCGTCCACAGACCCTCTCCTGAGACTCATGGAAAGACAAAGCTCCACGTTCCCATGTCGACAGCGGAAAAAAAAAAAGAAAAAAAAGGGAAAAAGTGGGAGAGTCTCCAGAGTTAAATAAACCGGGTGGGAACTCGAACAGAAAAGCCGGCTGATGGTGATAAAGGCATGATTCATCAGAAATCAGCACTGTGTCCTTCGACTTAATAATAATCCTCATTATCCTTTATAAAGAGGAAACTGATGGATTTGTTCATGTGTATTTATTTATCTGGATCCCCTCCACCAAGGTACCAACTGCTCCCCCTGGGCTCCGCTCGAGTTAACCTTACATCATAATGCAAAGCAAGGTAAATTAAATGATGACAAATACAATCAACAGTAAAACTACCGGTGACAATAACAACGACAAGTTCCCACGCTTCAATTAATGTTGATAAAATGATTTTTCGATGCTTTATAGATCAATTATAATCGATTATTAACGAGAGCAATGTTTGGGTTGCCAGGTTGTAAAACATTTATCCGACCGTCACTGATTGTTTTTGGTTTATTAGTCATTAATAAAGAGAAATAAGCATCAAGTCTGCAGTTACATTAAGCTCTAATGGGCCGACAGGAAATGTTAGTAAGCTAACTGAAGGTGCTAATAACTCACGGATAAACGTGTCGTAAAGTGTGAAGTTGTACATGTTGATAAGCTGATAATAAATCAATTCTGGCCCGGAGGTTCTGCAGCTCAGACTTTCCACTGGAGGAAACTTAGTGACGAAGGAAACGAGTGAAGAGACAAAGGAAGGATCAATGTTTCATTTCAAACCACGAATATGAAAAATCAAACAATCAGAAACATCACAAAGATCCATCCTTCAACCCATCCAGCATGTTGTTTGGTATATTTTCAGTCTAGACCAAAGTGGTGCACCG